TCGCCCTCCCTCAAGGGGTTAAGGAAGGCTTCCGCCTGTTTGGACAGTCAGGCCCTGCCCGTCTGCTTCCCCCAAGAAAACATGCCCCCAAAAGACACTCCCCTGGCTGCCAAGGCTTTCACTCAAACCGCTACTGCACCCGGAAACCCCTCTGTGAGAACTGTAGCAAACCCCTAGATACTCATGAGGCTGGGATCTGCCTGGCTAGGCCTAAGTGCGCTAACTGTCATGGGCCCTTCCCAGCAAGCCATGTAGACTGTCCGGCTAGGCCCCTACTGGTTAACGGAAACCTTACTATTCCAACCCGGAAGGAACTGCGAGGGATCCAGAAGGCTGGAGAGAAGGCGTCTGACGATCTCCTGGCAAGCCAGGCCTGCTCCCCAGGCGGCACGCAGCAAGCTGAGGCTAGGCCAAGCGCTACATCCAAGCGCCCTCGGCCTCTGACGCCTACACAAGACTCAATTGTTGTTGCAGATACTGCTAGCGTAGCTGGGAGCAGCAGTATGGAGGAGGATGAGGCTGAAGACTCTGAAGCCCTCCCCCCCCTAACTAACCGCCCTATCTATCCACTCCCAAGCAGCAGCAGGAGCCAGAGGGTAGCCCAGAAGCCTGACTATAACGTTGTTAATGCCTACACCCACCTCGACCTCGACTCAGAGCTATAGGCTCAGGCCAGCTACCCCACAGGTACTACGAGTTACCCAGTGTAATGTGGGGAAGAGGAACCCAGCCCATACAGCCCTCTTAGAGCTCTGCTGGGCAGATCAGATCGACATAGTTCTGATCCAGGAACCCTGGATAGGCTATAGAGATAAGATGCAGATTAATACACACCCAGGCTTTAACTCCTACGTACCAGTTGACTTCTGGAACAGTAGAGACACAAGGCCTAGGGTTATGACCTACATACGCAAAGGTCTAAGGCTGCAAATACAGCAACAAGGACCTACCCAATCAAGAGATATCTTATGGGTGAAAGCTGGCGACCTCACTATTATGAACATTTATAGGCCGCCAGATGAGCCTATAAACCAAGCAACCAGCCTCCTTTTAGATTATCAACCGCCAGAGAGAGCCCTTATCGCTGGGGACCTTAATGCCCGCCACTCCTCTTGGGAACCTGGGTCCCCTAGCTGGAATCGAGGAGACGATATTGCAGAATGGGCGGAAGGCTATGATCTTCTGTTTATTGGGGAGGTTGGGGCCCCTACCCATACCCACGGGCATACCCTCGACCTAACCCTCTCAAATATTCCCTTTACTGAGGCTTATATCAGCCCACACTTACACCCAGGGGCTGACCACGAAGCCATCACAACAATTATCCCTATGAGCAGGGCCCAGGAACAGGGACGCCAGGCTAACCAGCTCTCAGTCCCAGAGTCAGCCCTACCACGGCTGATCGACCTGGTAAAGGCTGGGGCTGCAGCCTTACCTATTCTAGGGGAACTGCCCAGCCCAGCAGAGCTGGACACCCTAGCTGCCCAACTGGTCAGCCTCTTCCATACAGCTATTCAAGCTGTAGGCAAGAGACGGACTAATCAGGGTAGGGGAGCCCCCTGGTGGACAGAAGAATGCTCAGTAGCCCACCAAGCTGCTATTAAGGCTAGGCGCCAACAGGCCCAAGAACCTGGGCTGGTCATACCCCCCCCTATCCTAGAGGAGCAAAAGGTCTTCCTAACAACTGTGAGAAGGGCGAAACGCACCTACTGGACTGCTAAGATCGAAGAGGCTAAGACAGACCAAGACCTATATAAAATTATAGGCTGGCGGAAGTCTAGCCTAGCAGTCAAAGCTCCGCCTCTAATAGTGGGAGGGCAGACGATCAGCAATACCCACGATAAAGCCCAAGCCTTGCGGAAGGCTCTACTAGAGCGATTTAGTGCTACAGACGACCTATCTGGGAACCCTTTTGCTACCCCAGTAGTTATAAGTCGTATTATACCCTGGCAGAATACAGTTAGCATAGAGGAAGTACGCCAGGCTACTCTGACAAAAACTACAACCCCTGGGACTGATAAGATTACTACAAAGTTGCTACAATGCACCTGGGGATTAGTAGCTAGGCCTATACAACAGCTCTTCCAGGCCTGCGTTCAAGTAGGCTACTTCCCTAGACCCTTCCGCAATGCGGAAATTGTTATGATCCAGAAGCCAGGGAAAACAGACTTCTCTAAGACTGGGTCTTGGCGCCCAATATCCCTGCTGTCCTGCTTAGGCAAAGGCTTAGAGCGGCTGATAGCAAAGAGGATGGCCTACCTCACTATCCTAGAAGGGGTTGCCAGCCCACAGCAGGTTGGAGCCCTACCAGGGAGGGCTGCAGTCGACCTGACAACCTGTCTCACCCATGAGATTGAGAGGGCTCTAGATACAGGGCTTACCGCGACGCTAGCAACAATGGACGTCAAGGGGGCTTTTGATTCCGTCTTACGAAACCGACTTATTGTCAGGCTACGACAGCAGGGCTGGCCTAGTAGCCTGATCAGACTGATCTACACCTTCACTTCTAGCCGAACAGCCCGCGTCAGGCTAGAGGACACTACTACAGAGGACTTCCCTCTATCCTGTGGACTACCGCAAGGCTCTCCACTATCCCCTATCCTCTTCCTGCTCTATATAGCTGATATCCTAGCTGATGATCGGAAGCTACGGTTTGGCTATGCAGATGATATAGGCTTAGTAGCTACTAGCCCCTCGCTAGAAGAGAACGCTACAGCCCTAGGCCAGGAGATCACTAGTATCCTCAGCTGGGGAACAGAAAATAAAGTCGCCTTTGACCCAGCTAAGTGTGAGGCAATCCACTTCAGCAGAAAACATAAACAGACAACAGACCTACCAGATATCCAAGCCAGAGGCCTAACTATCAAGGCCTCAATAAAGCCTATAAGATGGTTAGGGGTCTGGTTTGATAGGAGACTCACCTTCCAACACCATGTAGGAATAAAGGTAGCAGCAGCAAAGAAGGTAGCCTATTTCCTACAGCACCTTACAAACACAAAAGGGGGGCTCCCAGCAGCTGCAGTTCGAAAAGCAGCTATTGCTTGCGCCCTCCCAATAGCCCTATATGGAGCTGAGGCCTGGTATGCAGGCTTGACCAGACCAGCCCTGAACAGCAGCACCAGTATAGTCGGCACAGGGCAGAAGGGTTTAGCCTGTAGAGTTGGAAGAGTTATTACAGCAGCAGCAAGGGCTATCCTACCTGTCTGGAGGACCACACCAACCAGTGCCCTCATCCGAGATGCTGGCCTACCAACAGCAGAGGTGGCCCTTGAGGCAGCGCGACTACGCTTCGCTGCACGCCTACAGAAGGTTGACCAACAACACCCCTTGGTCCCAAGGCTTCTACAGCCAGGGCGGCAGCAGACCAGGCTCCAAAGAACAGCTGGCCTCTTACCTAGGTGCCCAAGGCCAGCACTCCTACAGCCGCAATACCCCCCAGGGTCTCACCACCCTATAGTCACACAGACGAAGGAAGTAGCAGCAAGGATCTTCCAGGCCTGGCTTAAGACTGTGCCAGATAAGCATACTATTATCTACTCAGACGGCTCTAAGGCCCCTGATGGCGCTACAGGGTTTGGCTTTGTTATATACCGTAAGAACAAACGTATAGCCCAGGGCTGCGGCCGCCTCGGCTTAGCAGAAGTGTTTGATGGGGAGGCTGAGGGGGCGAGGGCAGGGCTCCGACGGGCCCTCCTTACCTCCCAGGGCCAGCCTATACACATCTGTATCGATAATACCAGCGTTATCCAGGGGATCCGAGGCAGGGTCCCAGACTCCTCACAAGCGGCCTTCCTTGAGATCCAAGAGGCAGCTAGGATGTATGACATACGAACCCATTGGTCCCCAGGGCATGAAGGCATCAAAGGGAACGAGGAAGCAGACAGCCTAGCCAAGGAGGGCACAACCCTGCCAGCCCCTAGGGGCCAACTAGCCACCCTGTCAGGGATCAAACGGCTAGCTAGAGAACGTATATGCCGCCAGTATAGAAAATGGTGGAAGCAAGAGGCAACACCCCGCTATACCCAACTAGGGCTTAAGGCTTCCCTTGCCTGCCCCCCTGAACTAGCCCTGCCACAGGCTATACTCCATCATCTCCTAGCAGCCCGGTCAGGCCATGGAGACTTCGAACAATACCATCAACGCTTTAACCATACAGAAGCACTGCTTACCTGCTCCTGTGGGGAGGCAAAGGAGGCAGACCACCTAGTCTACTGCCGAAAGACCTTAGCGAGGAGGCTTCAGTGGCCCACCCTCCACCCCTCTAGTCCACAGGAGCCTATAGGACCAATAGGATCTCTGGATCGATACTACAAGGGGCTAATCACTGATCATGAAGGCTTCCAGGCCTTTCTCTGCGTGACAGACTTCTTCCGGAAGATCTGCCCGCGGTACTAGGGCCTAGGTCTGAACCTAGGCCTTAGTAACGAACCCCCCCCTCGTAGAGGAACTGACGAGTATAACGGAACCAGGGAACCAGCGGGAACTAGGGACGGATAGAACACATAGTAGCCTATGGTCAAGATTTGGAGGACGTTAGGAAGAGGCGTGTACTGTAGAGTATATAGCTTGAGCCTGCGGCCCTCCACGCCATATACCCCTCGGGAGGTCGGCCGCAAGGGCGGCTGCGCCCTTGCCGCCACGGCGTTAAATACAACAACAACAACAACAAAGAAACAATTGCCCGCATGAAATCCGTTAGGTGTAATTACCCTGTCAACCTCTCCCCAGCCAGCCTTGGAACAATCAATCCAAATCCGTGCTTGATGCCCAAGATGGTTTGAAACACCATTGACAGAAAAAAAATGCAAAAGCAACCCTCGAGGCCAAATCGCTCAAAAATGCATCGCATGCCGACGCTGGAATGAGCAAAGTATACATAGTGGCAAAAAGCATCCGTAAGGTATGAGATGTCGTGATTTTGGTACGCGTCGAGACACTCGCGCAAAGAGCCAGCGATCTCGAGGAGAAAATAAAGCCAGGTGTTCGGGTGGATACGTTGCTCAGTGAAGCGGGTCGGCATCGGCAGCGACGATGTATCCCACTTGGAAGCTCTTGCGACAAATCGGGCAGCTTCGAAGGTTTGGGTCAGCGGAGATGTTTCCGAAGCATTGCTTGCAGGATCGGTGACCTGTGGAAGGGACATGTCAGAACATGGTAGTAACGATTGCAGGATGTAAACGTACCGCAGATCAACACGCACCAGATGTGCTTGTCATCCTCGCGGCAAATAACGCAGCTTGACTCGCCAGCCTGGTAGTTGAGCTGCACGTTCTGCACCTTGCCACAGCAGGTTCCACGGTTGTCCAGGCAGGATTGGCAGGCAGCCTATCCGAGTTAGTGGCTGGATGTTGCGAGCTCGGTAGCAGACCTACATGACCACACTTGGTGAAGAGGTAAGGCTTCCCAGCATTCGGCTTCCGACAAACACAGTTGATGGTGATGAGATCCCTGGCCGGGGCGTTCTGATGCTCGGCGTCGATGAATCCAGATTTCAAAGGACTCTGCGATTCTTCCTTCTTCAAGGAAGGCGTGTCTTTGGCAGCCTTCGGAGGAGATTGCGAGTAGCTCGTCTTGCTGAAAAGTCTGCCGATGTTGTACTCTGGCTTAGTGACGCGATGACGGGGACTGCGACGAGGGCTGACAGCCGGGGTGACAGAGGCATCCTTTTGTCGGCGAGACACTGATACTTTGACGTCTGTGGTTCTTGGTTAGATGCGATTCGGACGAGGGATAGGTGGGAGTAGTACATGGCGACATGGCAGGCGATATCAGAGACCGTGATGTTTTGTCCGAGACGCCGTCGTATTATGATGCTGTCCAGCGAACGGTTCTGACGCCGGCTTCTAGCTGGACCTTGGGAGCGAGTTGAATGAGATAGAGAGCGAAGGAATGTAAGGTGGCGGCGATAATTGCCAACGAGGGTGAGCTCACGGGCCTGGGCGAACGACGCGCGACAGTCGACGGATTGCTGAGTAGGGAAGGAGGCGGCATAGATGCAGAACAACTGAGAAACAGTTTTTGTGGGAAGGGTTGCAGAGATTTTCGAGATTGGGCCAGGTGAGTTGGCCAAGAGGAAAGTGGAAGGAACGAAGGAGGTAGGCCCAAAAGGAGCACAAGGAAGGCGCGACTTGAAAATTTCACACCCAGCGAAATTGACTACACCAGGAGGCCAAGTCAGCTTGTACTTGAGCTTTTACTTTTAGCAGGTTCAAATGACTGTCCAGGGTGATCGACTTACATTTGCCGATAACAGGTTGATGGAACGACTACGCCTTTGTGGTGATGATGTCTGGTTATCCTCACAATGGATCTCAAGTTGACTTGCACCCCTCCGGCAAAGATATGTCAAATGCATGCTAATACACCCCTGGTCTTTGTTGTATCCTGTTAAGCAATCTGGAATCAAAAGTGAGCATGGTAACCATAGATAGCGCTTCCATCTGCAAAGATCAACTAGTCTTCTAATGCCTGGATTTGTGTTGTTTGTGAGACGCTTGTCTTGCTAGGAGCAACCTTCCAAAGTTTTGAAACCTGTTGTTCTGTTTTACCAGCCCAATACTTTAGCAAATGTGTGTCGAAACATCCTTCAATTCATGGCTCAAAATCGCGACATTTGGGGTCTAATTTAATGTCATTTCACATGTTGGGAGTGATCAGCCTGCTCCACGATGCAATGTCACAACCTGAAAGATCAAAGCAAGGCTAGACAAATTTCTACGCGCAAGTTGGAACATCTGTTATGCTTTGGAGGCCCGCGTTAATCATTGACCCTGATTCAATAGTCATCATCATTCGAGGAACTTTCCTTGCAATGTATCAGTTATTAGCTGATGCTCAGGACCGCAAGCCTCGGTCATCCCTTCGTCCACAAGTTAACAATGAATCAAAGCGTCATTTTGAAAAGTTGATACTGGGAATGCGCACTCTACCCGTTGAAAACCACCTACATATCGCGAGCATGCACACAACGATCCGAAACCAGACCGCAGGTGACTTCACTGGCGCAGGTCGCACCGCGCATACTGGGAGGCTCCACGAGTTCAAACGCCTATCGCATGCAATCGTCATCCTAGAAAAGAAATCTCACTCTTGTTCAAACGGCATTAGCTGACCATGTTTGGTGGTTGAGTGGCGTCGGAATAGTGACCAGCTTGAAGTTCCGACCAGCCAAGTTTTGACCGGTCTGGTGTTGGTACTTGCCATGCTTCTCCGCCATTCGGTTTCCATCATCGTTATGGCTTGGCTAATTGACGATGAGATACCATGTTCACTTGATGCAATGGCCTGGGGGTCTTCGGCTCACACGGCCATTCTCGGAAGGTCACATCATGCCGCGGGGTTTTGACAAATCTCACGTTGCATCTCCGAACTAGCACGCCACGATCGGTGCATTCTGGCGGGCCTAGCTCCCCGAATGATTCCTATAAGACCAGCATATTAAAGATGCCACGAAATTTCTCCGTTCGTTGCTAAATCCCTGTGCAGGATTTCCGAGTCACCCAAACCGCTCAGGTCATGTTCGCAAGTCTTCGGCCCCACATTGGGGGGTGGATGTCGCCCAAATGCTGTCGGTGAGGGGTCAATCAATCATCATCACTTTCTTGGCTGCTTCCTTGGTCAGAACGTTTGTTGCTACGTTACAGCAAGGGAACGTTAGCTAAGTGGCTTGACAAAGTCCGAACTTGCAGGCACTTTACAAAAAACTTAAAGGGCGTGTTGGAGCCCAGCGACTCTGCCAATTGTCCTGCGTCTCTCCTTTGCGCCGAACAATAGCATCCACCTCGTCAAAATGCGCGATTTTGTCAAAGCGACTGTTTACGCGCGGATATATGTAGTTTTCGCGTTGATTCTTGCTCCCCTTAAAGCATTATGCCAATCTGATGGCAATGTCAAGAGCATCTATTTATTCAAAGACGTCCTTCAATCTAATACATCAGCTTTGAAAACCGCTGGATTCGATACGTTGCTCATATTCAGGATTGGCGTTCTTGAAACTGGAGATTTGGTGTATTACTCCACGGGAGATGCTGGAGAAGCTGTCGATGCTCCGGTAGTGACAGCCGGATCATACGTGGGAGGAGAAGCGTTATCCGAAAAGATCCGCTCCTTCAAAACAGGAACTACCCACATCAACCGAGTCGAGATATCCTTGGTGTCCCACGACACCACCTTCCAGAATATTCGGAGCCTTATCAACAGCAATGGAACCGGATCTGACTCTGTCTTGTATCAGGGTTTCCAAACTTTGAAGACAGAATGGAATCTTGATGCGTTCAACAACGACGACGAAGGCGTATATGATGTTGCAAGCACTGTTAGCTTCGCTCAGCTTCTCGGCACGATCGGCTATCGGTACTCCATCGCGCCATACACAAACAGTGGCTTTTGGGCCACCATAAAGAGTCAGATTGACGCTGCTGAGGCCGGCCTGTTCGATCGGGTTTACCTACAAGTGTATGATGGAGGAGCGGGCAACAATCCGGGAAGTTGGCAAACAACACTTGGTGCTAAGGTAATCCCCTTGGTGTGGGTTATAAACGATGCGAAGCCATCACAAGGAGTAACCCCAGACCAAGCACAAGGAAGGTTTTCAACATGGGAACAGCAGTACGATGTCGCAGGAGGGGGCTACTGGAATGACTATGACATTGAGAAGATGAATTCATCTTATGAGGAGTACGGAGATGCCCTGCTGACAGTGTTCGGCTAGGTCCATCTGTTCCCGTTCCTATTTTAGACCTCATTGGTAAAAAGCCTTAGCTTATCTCGCCCTGTATAATTTCTAGTATTCTAAGTAAGTTTACGCTTTAAGTCTTGTGCAGCCTTGCCGAAGCCCACCTAAAGTACTTTGGCATTTGCGAATAGACTGCAATAGACTCACTTGTGAAAACAGTGTCTGAAATCACAATTGCTGGATATATGTCGTTAGGCTAGCCGACCAGATATTGGACCCACGAAGCCCCAGAAGCACCTGCAGGCGAACCATGAAAGGGTTGCAACCGTAAAGCAACGTGATACTTAGTGAAGGTGTCGTCACTAACAGTTATCCCATATTCAGTGAAGTGGATCAACATGATCCATCCCCTCATTTCGATTATCGGCAAGGAATAATCGAGATCAAAGGAACTTTTGAGAACCCTCGCGGATCGGCGCCATATTCTCTGCATCTGAGTGACGGGTTAACGTTGCTGCGCTTGAGGCTATAACAATTGGCCTCCTGTACCCAGGTTTGCCATTCTCCGCTGACATTCATAGCGTTGGTAAACTCGGACCCGACGCAATGACACATGGCACCAGTCATCGCCCTACGCCAGCTTGGAAGCCTGGTTTCACTCAAGCAGAAGTGAACGGGAGAGCCCCCGATAATGGAAATCAAGTCGGAAGCGTCACAGGTTGTGGGACAACATTCAGGGATCTTCGTGTGATTGATACGGCCGCGCCGGAAAGCTATGTAGCCGGTGACAGAAATCAAATTTTCCAAAAATCAAGCGAATCATTCGGAAGGGGATGAAGTAACAGCCGTATCTGCGATCTTCCATGTATGCTCCTCGACTTGCTGGATTTGATCAGCAGTCCAAGTGGGCTTGTTTTCAATCAATGATCCCTTGCTGTCAATACAACTCCAGAACTTGCCGTCTTTCTCGTTCATAGCGGAAACCTCTACCAGACCGGTGAGTAGGTTCGTGGCACATTCCTCGGACGTGATGCGAAGAATTTGACTGAAAACCCTAACATACTGGCAACGACGGCTTCAAGTAGAAGCCGTTGAAACCCTCACCAAAAATTAAGTGGGTCCATGCAGACAGGGAGTAGAAGCCGTTGTTTTCTAGCAGCGTAGAAGCTGTTGAGCTTTCCAGTAGTAAAATACATGAAAGTCGGATGCAATTAAAGCTTGAATGAAGGCGATTCTAACCATCTAGTTCCCAGTGTTATAGTTAACAATATGAGTCTAGAAATTGGTGAATAGGGTAGTAGATGTTTTTGTGATGTGGTCCTAAACCCCACATCAAGTAGCTAATCATATAACAGGGAATTCAGCTAGGCTAGAGAGCCCGACCGACCGATGGAACGCAGGCAGGGTTGAAAGTAGATCAAGGAGAAAGTATGTGGAATTAAGGGGCAGGAAGGTGAGGTTATAAAAAGAGGACAGGAGGAATTATTTAATAGTAGCAGACCAAAGCAAGCCATCCGTATAGCTAAATATGGAGCTATTCGTCCATAACGCGCAGTATTCTATTCTGATATGCATATTATGTCAGTATGCAGTAGTAGCAAACAAAGTCGCAGTATATCTGCGAAACCACTATCGGTTAATCACCGCCGAGGCCAGGGGAAAAGTGGCTAGATTGGTCGGCAACATCCTAAGCATCATCTGCAGCCAGGCCGATTTGGAGTCGTTCTAATACCCAGACCCCACAGTCGAGCCAGTTGCCTATATCGCACCGCCCTAAACAGATAGTTTACGCTGCCACGCATGCTGTTATGTTTGCCGCCGCGTGCGAAACATATAGGAGCATTGTCGGGCAGAACACAGATAGGAGAATGATTAGCAGAAGGGGGGTGATGTTCGCAAGAAAGCCACCACAGTTAGGGATTTGCTGTGGATAACAGGGGTGCTATGCCAGCGGTTTTTCTTAACTCAGGCTGCGAGCGGATGGTTTGAGGTGGCCTGGGGACAGACAGCCCATAAGTCTCTGCAAGCCGCTCCAAACAGAAGCCTAGGCCGGCAGGCTGTAGACTGCGTTCAAGATCTCCAG